CATAAGGGTGCGGCTTACGGTCCTCTTTAACGTACAACCCCCGCCCAATCCCCTCTTTCCCCGGGGGGTTTTTTTTTTTTTTTTTTTTTTTAGAAAACAGATGGGCTGTGAGGAAACGCCTCTTTGTTTCTTCGCCCACTCCCTCTTAAAGTCACTTCTGGGTCATATCTGTACTGTAGTCATTCCTTAGTCATCATCCTGACTGTGGTCTGCTGTTGATACGTAACAAACATAAAAACGACACAACAAAAAGGTCAAAACCATTTTGAGTATCCGGTAGAGTGAGGGAAACATCAGGAAACAGGACTAAAGTGGATGACAAATACACTCTTTGTTTCAAACACCCGATTCAAATGTATTGTGTGGTCGTCATAGGAACAGGAAGAAAGTATCCATTGTGCGTTCTACATATAGAGGCTCACTAAACAGTGCATACTTTACCAGGGAAAGAAAATCATTTCAAACCCTGTCCCCATATATTGTGGAGTTCATTCTGTTCAATGCAATTCAGAAGCAAACATTTCTTAGTGGGAAAAAAGAAGAAGGAAACAAAAACATACAATAACCTTGTTCTGCCCTTAAACTACTTGGTTAAAGCACCTTTTGATTCTGTTTCGCCATTCTTCTTCATCTACCAGCATCCAATATCTTGACTTAATCCACTCTGCCTCACAAAGATCCTCCTGTGGATTCTAGCAACGTTACTCCAAAATCTTAATTATCCCTTAACGAAGTTATCCTTATGTCTATCTTTGAAAAAAAACTAAAAACCTTCATCTTAGATTTCTATGAATCTTAAGGATTTATTCTGATGTGTATTTAGAGTTATTCATAACTTATATTCACCTTAGCAAAAATCCCAATTCTATCTAAGAAAAATGGACCCCAGAGCATGATACTGTCACCACCATCTACTACCATTGGTATTGGTATTCTTTTGGTCATGTGTTATTTTTGTCAAACGTATCTAAATGAGCTGTAATTTTATTAAATCGAACCACAACATATTCTCTCACAACGTTTTTATGTGTTCTAGTGAGGCCTGAGAGCTTCAAGTAAAAGAAAATAGTTCTGCTTAGCAGACCTTCTATACAGTCCAGATCTATAGAGACTCTGTACAGAAAATCACCTGCAGAGCACAACCAGTAGTTTCTGACATGGGTTTTTAATCACTTCTAAATAAAGATCCAGTTTTTTTTTTTTATTTCCTGTTGGTTTATCTTTTCTCCAATTATTGCTGACTGCCTTCAGTGTGCATGGATCTAAAACTCAGGATGGGAGGCATGGTCATAATAGTTTGTCACAGTATATATGAATGACAAAAAAAATGCGATTGATGATTAAAAATATATATATATAAATATGTTTTGTTGTCTTTCGGGTTTTTTTTTGGAATCACAGCCCCACAAATACAAACACTGCTTTTGAATAAAAACAAAAGAATCATTAAAAGTCAACTTGCCGATCTCATCTCGCAAACATTTTCATGTTTCACTCTTTACATAATTTAAACATGGGATTTTAAAAGAATCACAACAATTCATTCTTTTCTTTCCAGATAAGATGTCTTGTTTTGTGCAGTTTAATGAACAGGAAATCATAGCGCAGACAGATGTTTGGGTCTGGGCACCCACCTTCCAGGCGGACCGCCTGCGGGCAGTAGAAGTGCAGCAGGGCAGCGAGGGCGCAGCCGTCTGTGTTGTCCTTCAGCAGGTTCTCCACCAGGGGGAGCGATGGGACATTCTTCTGGGCATGCTCCCTCCTGTACCGGGCCTGAAACACCATGGCAACGACACAGAGACATCACCTTCATGGATCGTCGGGGTGGATATGCAGCGGTTCTCTTTGACTACCGCAGACACACCTACTACTGCATGCACAGCATGATTAAACACACAAGTCAAGGTGTTAATCTGACGGTTTTCAGGCATTCATCTGACATAATGCAGATTATACTGAGCATGCAAATAACACGTCTCTGGCATTCACTTCAGATTTCTTTTTAAGGAAACGACTGGAACAGTTTTGCTCTCTCTGTTGTTTTCTCTCTTTCAAAATATTACTCATTAAACTATTAAACCTCCTCTGAAACATTTTTTTGGGACTAAAGCCCAAAAAATCTCAAAAATCTGAGCAGCGGTTCTGTAGCACACTGATCATGTGATTTAGGGTTTAATAATGATCTTTGTATTCTTCCTTTCTGCAGGTTCCCTTATGCGATGCTTTACACGTGTAAAAACCGCAGCGACAACAAACCACCGCATGCGCCTTCAGGGCGTCAGCGCTCCCTGGGAGCCCATGAAGAAATGCTTTCTGATGGCCGCGTTTTGTAACCGACGTGGTACAAAGGAAGACTCAGTCAGCGCAGCGCTCTCTGTCTGTCGGCCAGCTATGACTGAGCACTGAGCTGTGAGAAACAAACTGTTGTCCTTCACTTTGCTCCACTGGTACCGAATCTCTCTCAGTACCGCTCGTCCTTTTCGCACACGAGACAATTTCGGGTTCATAGTAAAGACGGAAGAAACGCTTTAGTTCATTTTAGTTTTCAGCTGCACGTCTTAAAAGTATGAGTCCCAAGACTAGTCGCGGTGTCTTATTCGTCTTAAGAAGGGGAACAGGTTGGGAGGGCAGGTGAGAGGGTGGGAGACATTTGGCCAAACAATGATGGAGCTCTGGGCCGCATGCGGGGAATAAACAACCGGAGGGAACAATGTGAAGGTTGGGGTTAAGGGGTGTCAGGGCTGATGCTGGGGTTACTGAGATCTTTTCCAGAAGGAATGGACTTACAGGTACTAATCTCCAGTACCATTTGCTAGAAGACTTGATGGTGGGTCATGATAGGATAAGAGGAGAGAGTGGGATACGTGTTAGGACCACCACTGACTGGGAAAGAGATACCAACACCTGAAAACAACATCTGTTATGGCTCTGTAAAGGACAGAGGATAATTAATAATGTGTTAAGTGTGCAGGATGTGACAGAATAAATTGGTCTCGGTGCCGGTTTTGAGCTTTAAAATCTCACTGATTTTTCTCTCTAGTACTTTATGTAGCAGATTTTCAGTCTGACCGGCGCCGACAGCAGACAAGCTGGTTTAAAAACCACACTCTTTAGTGTGGCAATTGTTATTGAGGGACAATTTACACACTTTGGGTAATTACTAACTCAAAGCTAATAATTATGTACTAGAGATGTGCCTCAAAAGTGAAATCAAAGGATCCATTTCATCCCATTTATCTTTCAACTTCAGTAAAATGCTGACTTTTGCAAATTTCAAAGCCGAGGTAAGAATCTACATTCTCAAGGGAGTAAAGACAATATTTAGCTAACTGATGAAAAGTAACCAACTTTCAGGAAAAGCTCTGTAAAATTATCTTAAGTGAACCAAATATGGTTATTTTTTTTTATTACAGGACAGCTACAGTGATTTTAGTGCTTTTAGACGTGATGTGGAGCGAACACCTCCAGCAGACTGAACACAAACATCCTCCGTTTCCTCCCCACCATAACCGAGTGAGTTCTTCATCATATGACCAAAGTTGAAACACTTTTCTCACTTTCCCAGAATAGAAGAGACCGAGGAGCATCTTGTGCTAATCTACCAGAGCCGACACGTTGCAGAAGCATTGATGTGTGTGTGTGTGTGTGAAATGATTTCCTCCTGCTGTCTTCTTAATGAGTGAGTAGACTTCTCCTACTGGTAGACTGATGCCACCAGGAAGAGCCGTGTGATGGAGCGTGCAGCGTAAAAGCAACAGACTGATGTGAAGCGTCTTCAGGACTACTTTCCTCTCATCCGTCTTTGTAGAACTGTGTCAGCATGAAACGGGTTAAACACACACATATATATATGTTGTATGTTCCTCTCGCTAAATTAACAAGATATTATTATCTCTGGAAGAGGATTCAGCTCCATAAGAGACAGTCAGACTCCACTTCTTGTGCTTCATATTTACAGATGCTAATCTCCAGTATGGAGAACATCCCAGTCTAAACTGCTATAAGATTTGCTTTCTGCCAGAGAAAACAAATCTAAAGTAAAAAAATGTTTATATTATCTGAAGTAAATTTCAGAACTAGACAGTGACAAATCTTTAATATTTAAATATTATCCAGGTCAGATAAAATAATGGCTAATAAATATCCCGATTGATAAAAAAAAAAAAGAGTACGACTGCAGCCATAGAAATGCTTAATAAATCCTGTATTATTATTTATTATGTATATGGGTGAAATATCTTTTAAAATTAAAATTTCGCCCTGCAGAACAACAATAATATATATATATATATATATATATATATATATATATATATATATATATATATAAAAAACCATCCTTTCTCCTTTTCATTGAAATCTTTCAAACTACTAATTTCCTGTTACAGCGGCCAGGGACTTTGTTGAAGCCGCCTTTGATACCGGCGCTTTGCTCACCTCATCAAATTTCTAATGAACAACAAGAAAGAAATCTTAATCCACCAAAGCGCCACAACTTCATCTCATTCCAGCCTTCAGTGAGTTTCTATTTTTTACCCTTCACCGTACTGCTGCCCTGACGGGACCCGTGATCCGACCGAGCTGCGCTGAAGCGTCATGGGTGAGTGAGCAGAAGAGGACGACAGCTGACTGCAGCGTGTTATTGCCGGCAGATTGACTCGTAGTGTCACAGGGACCTTACATAACCGCTCAGCTAGCAGGGTGCCTGCCTGTCACTGAGGCCCTTCGGCTACAGCGGCCATGTCTCCTACCCTTTCCCAGCTCATCTCAGATAAACCCCTCCTCATTTCTCCTCTCCGACTGACTGGCACCCTGTGTCTCCTCCTCTGCCCTGTGAAATGCTTTGTCTCCTCAGACAGCAGTGGGGAGATTCTTGCCAAATACTTTCTGCAGCTGGTGACTGAGCTCATCTGTTCGTCTGATTCGCAAAGCTCCGTACACTGTGTGTTGAATCCGTCTGCAAGGGAAGGGAGGTTTTTTTGTTTGTTTGTTTTTTTTTTGCATGTGTGGACGCAGATGTGGCTCTGAATAAAACTTCAATTCCACAAATATTAACTCTCTGCAAGAGGCTAAACAAAGTCGTTTGTGAGCAGCAGCTTCCTGTGTTGGAGAACATTTTCTGACTTACCTTATGCGTTGTGACGTTTGAGTCTTGGAGGGAGGCTTCTCTTAACTTCTGCTCCTCGATGAGGATGTCCCTCAGCTGCTCGTTCACCTTGAACGACAGGAAGAAGCAGGGAAGGTGGTGAGAGACAGAGACGCTCGGAGAGCCAAGTCGTATTTCAAGAAAGCGCCGGGTCAGATTCAGGCTGAATAAACGGTCTGCTCTGAGAAGACGAAGGACGTGAACCTCAGCGAAAAACCTGTCACCCTCTTTGACACATTAACTTAAGATAGTGAAGTCGTGTCTTATGAAACAGTCTTTGAAACGTGAGAATTATTGTTCAATGATGACTTCTGTTTTCCTTTTTGTCAGGAGGAAGTTACACAAAACCACCCGTTCCTAATCATGTCTCGGTTGTCTCATTACGGCCTCCATATAGAAAAAAAATCCTCATGATTTCAATATTTAATACGCATATAACGCTTTAAATATTTTACATGACTTTTATGGACCAAAAAAAAAAAAAAGCAGATGGAGATCTTAGATTGCAACATGTTTATTTAATTCCTCATCAAAATTTTTATTACGAAACAGCAATGAACTAAGAAATCAGTTGATTGCAATTGGACAATTGGGAATATACACAAAGACTGCTGTGGTAAAAAAACAAAACAAAAACACACTATGATATTCTTGCTAATCCATCTCATTGATCCGTTAATTTTTTTTTAGCATTTTATGTTAATTTTTAAAACCGTTAGACTTCTGTCTGATACACAGTGACATGTCATAAGCACTATAATTACTGACCCTTCAAAATATGAGGACAAGAACAGATTGATTTCCTCCCGTTATAATTCTTAGAGTTAGCACAGTAGGTTAAAATCTGTGTCTGTAGGTAAAAGCCTTATAAAATCTGAAGATTGGAAATCAGTCAGCTTGTGATTGGTATAGAATAAAATATATTCCACTTACAAAATTACTTTCAGATATCTCTTGTGTTAGCACCACAAGCAAGCAAAAAAAAAAAAACAGCTAAATAATCTGTAAGAGATTATGAACAGTGACCTGAGACACTTAAGCAACTCAAGTTCTAATTTTGCTTTTTTTTATTTTTTATTTTTTTTATTCCTGCAACAGCAAACGAGAGACGTTGCTAATCTCGGAAGCGTCTTGGGAATTACTCCACATTCCTGCTCTCTTGCAAGAAAATGAAGAAACGGCTCTCATATCAGCTGAACCCCGACAGAAACAAAACAGCAGCGAATCAAATGAAAAGATAATGCGTGGAATGCGTGCCTTCTTTGAAAGCGCAACGTCTTCGTGTTGTTGTTGTATTTTATTGATTTTTTTTGCGCCCCTGCACGTACCTTGTTGATCCAGGTGGCGATGGCGTCCTCGGTGTCGTACGGCAGCCCCTGGACGAGACCGTCGCCGTGTAGCGGTTCAGCAGGCGAATACTTGTTGATGCAGGACATCACCCTCTCCACGCTCACCATCTCCACGGTGTAGGCCATCATCAAGGTATCGATGAGCGCCAGATGGGAGCTCTGCACGGAAACGCAGCCGCAAAAGCTTATCAGCAAGATGAATTTAACAACAGGCGGGGTTTTATTTTTGCCAGTGAAAAATAGTGGAAATGCTCTGGAAGAGCGCAATAGTCTTTTTAAGCATTCAAGTCGTGCAAATGATTTTAACATGATCACAAACCTTGGCCTTTCTAACCCCATTCCAGACCGGTCAAAGCAACAGACCTCCCCTTCCTTTTCCTGCCTTAGAACAGCTCTATTAAAAAAAAAATATTTACACTGCATGCGTGTGTGTGTTTGTGTCTACACTGTATATCTACGCCTATACGATGCAAACCTAACAAGACAAGCACCTTTTGGCTGGTGCTCAGTGATTCAGGACAAAACAAAGTCAAAACAACAAATAAGAGACATCTGTTCAGAACATCAGAGCTCTGAGTGATCCAGTCTTTCCCCGAGACATGAAGCTGAGCTGCTGCTAGAGTTCAGTGGAATCACCTCATGTAAAGCCAGTCAAAATACAACGCAGACATGAGATCACTGCCAGAAACTAACCGTGGATGGAAATAAGTGCTAAGATGAGTTACTTCAGCTGAACAGGGGAGTAACATTAGATATTAGGAGTATATATCCTTTTTTTTTAAAGTTAGTTTGTGTCACTTCACTCGTAATTAACTCATTTTATTTTCCAGAAAATATACATTTACATTGACATGTGAACATTTATTTCGAAAGAAACAAATTCTTTTTATTTTTTTAATGACAGTATAATCTGCAGACTCTAAATAAAACATAAAAACAAACTAAAGTGTGATTTCTTGTAACAGCTCTCAAGTAAACCACTGCTGGGTTTAGCAGCTAAACGCAGGAGTCTAATATTCGGCTCATGAGGCGGCGTGCTGACTCTGCTTGGAGTTTGTGCAGCCTCAGGATGTTGTCAGATACTTCACATTGTGTGCATTCTGCACCTGGCCGACGAAAACTGACTGACGGAAACCGACTGAGTGATGGGCAGAGGAGGAGAGACCAGCCAAGCAGCTTAGAATGAAAGTGGAGATCAAGAAATTGGAATTTTCTTAAGACGCCATAAAGCTTTCCTGACGATTAAAGCTTTTCTCAACGCATTTGCATCAAATCCCCAAATCTTTCATGCTGGTAAGGAGCTTGCGGAGGTTCCTGAGTGCAGCAGGACTTTCATGTGTGTTCGTTTAGACGTGTGGAAAGAGAAATACTGAGAGTTTAAATGACAAGCCACTTGAGTTCCTCTCAACTCCAACAGGACTGCATCTGTTTGCTTTTGTTTTTTAATTTCATCGAGTTAGTTTAAGTGACAGGATGCAGACATTTTGCCGCCAATTCAAAAAGTGGAATCATACATCTCTCTTTTTTTTTAAGGTGTACTCAGTTGTATAGATGCAACATTTATTTATTGTAATTATTTTTATTCTTAAGACAAAAGCAAAAATAATACATTAACTGCCATAAACTGAGTAGTGTATTTCAAGCATGTCTTTGGTCAGAACATCACACTTTCAGGGTAGTTGCTGTAGCAACACTGGGTGTATAACAGGCTGAAATTAGCCGTTAGCCTGCAGGCCTGCTCCTTAACAATCAAGCCACTTATAGCTCGCCAACTGTAGTTTTAAAACAACATAACATTTTGGCTTCATCTCACCGCGGCACATTCCTTTTAGAGAGGAATGAACAGCGGTGAGATTATATTTTTATCCACAGGTTAAGATCCCACTTCATGATAATAATAATAATTTTTTTTTTTTTAAAGTGATTTTGCTTTGTGGCTTTCACAATAAATTGAGGGATAGAAATTGAGACTTTTTTTTTTTTTGCTAGAATGTTTGTGTTCATGTCATATTAGTTTATATAACATGATAAATTTGATTTGTGGTTTCTTCTGGCATAAATAGGCAAAAGTAAAAATGTGTACTTTTTGTCCATTTTCCACAACACTCACAGCATTAACAGCGCCGACTGTCACAATCCAACAACAACGAGGTTAAAAAATATACTTTAATAATTAAAGACTGCTTAAATACGTCTACTTTAAAAGACATGGCTAATTTAGTGATGGAAGTATAATTTGGCCTAAATTTCTAATGACAATGTTTTGTTTATTGTTCAGCAGTAATGATTCACACTATTACAGTAACTTATGACCAGTCGGTACTTCAACGGTTTTTCTCACACGTCCTTTGGCTGAATAAAAATAAACAAGAGTTAATACCAAACACGTGTACTGCACCTCTACAGTAAGTGGTCGTGCTGCGCTACACTCAGTATTCTGGAGAGCAAATAGGTGAGAAATCAGGACAAAAAGAAGAAGAAATGGGCAGAGAGAAGCTGGAACTACTTACAGCACTTTGTACTGCCTTGTTGCTGAAAATGTGCTACATAAATAAAATTACCTTTAGATGCTTGCAAATTTAGTCAAATTCTTAAAAATTTTTCCACATGTCCAGATTACAAAAACATATCTGAATGCGCGTCATTCAAATTCTAGCGGTTGCGTGGCTGCAGGGGTGTGTACGTGTCTGCCCTTGAACAAAGGGTAGTGAAATACACCTGAACAAACATAATCCAAGCAGCCACGCCGTTCACAGTTCCCGGAAAAAAAGTGTCCATTCAGAGTCACGGCAGTTGTTTTCTGCACAACTTCACACCGGCTAATTCCAATCCCACATTTTTCATTCGCCAAACGAAGGTGAAGCGTTAGCGATGATGCACGCCCCCCTCTGCAGGTTTGCACTTTCCATTCCCGCTCTGCCTCGTCTGTCGCTTTTTCCATCTCAGCGTTACACTAACCGTACGTGAAGCATGTGTGGAAAATACAAACAACAATTTGAAATTATTTGTGGAAAAGGCCAATGAACCTAGCGGGATGTCTGACAGCTCCAACGAGACGCGTGTGTGTTGGAGAGAGGGTATCATTTGTGCACCACGTGGGCTTTAGCTCAGTGTGAGACCCCACCCACCACATTGCTGCAGTGGTGCACATTACGCCTTCCTCGTCTCCTTCTTTGCCAGCTCCACACTCCTCCTCCTCCTGCTGCTGTTGCTCCTTTTCCCCTCCTCTCACCTCCTTCCAGATGGCTACATTACCACTGTCTGTTCCACTCATTTTCTCCGCCTTTCCTCCTCTTCCTCCTTCACAGCTGTTCTCCCTCTCCACAATTACATCTATCTTCCACTGTCTTCACCCTTTCCTCCCCTGTCCCGCCTTACCTAGATCACACCCAAATGGCTGCCCCTAAATCCCCCCTTTTCCTCATTCATTCACTCTCTGACAAAATGCCACACTCCTCCCTCTGGTCGTCCTCCTCCGCCTCCCCGACATGAGTTATTCCTCTGGCGCACAGTGTTTGGAAAACCATGAGGTCATCATTTTTTCTGCAGATGCACCATAACCCGAATGGAAAAGCCTCCACTTCAGCGTCACTAAAAGGTTCCCACAGAGTCCGCAGGAACACACTTCTTAAATTTATTTTAATAACCAGAGACGAGGAGAGATTAACAAGCAGCGCTGCACAAAAGAAGATCAATACGTTTGGGAGGGAATTAGAAATCAGCGTCATGTATCTACTTAATGTAGCCAATAAATCACTGACAATGCACCAGGAAGGAGGTGTGAACGAACAAACCGTCACGCCTCACTCCCTTTCTTTGTGGCCTTCTAAATCGATAAACGATGCTACGAGTCAAATCAAACCTGAACGTAAAAAATGTCCTCAACCTGTTGACTTTAGATGAAATTCAATCATCTGCAGCAACGAAAAAGAGACCAGGAGTTAATGCTGAGCTACAAAAAAAAAACGCAGCACCAGATGAGTGCATGCAGCAGAAAGGGGTGGCACATACATGTGATATGATATCATGATATATGTATTAGAATACTTTGATAATGATATCATAGCCGATATTCCACTTTTTATTTTGTTTCCTTTGTAAAATAGTCACCAGAAGAAAAATATATTCATATATACACAAAGTCATACATTTAGTGTATCAAAAAAAAAAAAAAAATCTAAAATAAATATAAATGTAAACTAATTTTGGCCAACGAAAAAAACTGTCTGAAATCAGCTACCAAGTGTAAATAAAAATACCGAAATAGTCACCTATCTCTACTTGCTCTCATGCTGATAAAAGGGATACAATATAAAAAAGGAAAGGTGTAAAATCTCCTGCTTTAAACCCACGTTGTTAATGAATCCCATGGGTGGAGCATCTGCACTCACCATGTGTATGGGCATGTTGGTCAGGTCTCTCTCGGTGACCAGTCTGTCCTGGTCTGTGACGTACAGCCCCTTCTGGGCCAGGGCCTGGATGACGGCGTTGTGTCCCAGTAGAGGTTTGACGGCATCGCTGCGGAGGATCAGGCTTCCTGCACGGCAGTACAGCTCTGCGGACTGAAGCAGGCAGGCGACGGGAGGCTTCAGGTGTTCCTGGTTGTACTGATCCCTGTAGAAGGGCTCGGCCAGCTCCTCCGGAACGGCATCTAAAAGCAGAGAGAAAAGGAAAGGTCAAGGGAGAAACGGTCTGAAAAGGTAAACTTTGGTTGCCTTATTTTCTAACACAAATTAAAAGACTGGTGCTGAAGTGGACTCCAGTATGGGATACTGTTGATGCTCCTGAACAGATCCGGTTCATAAAAAGGTTTGCTTGGCATCAGACGTCAGCCAAACGCAGCGGGTGTGAGGTGGGTTCGCAGAAAATGCTTTTTACTGATGCCGCCAACGTGTCCTACTCTTCAGAATGCCCTGTTCTAGTTCACTTGAGGTGCATGACGCTCATCGCTTCTCTTATTTTGGACAGTAAATGTGTCTGCAGACAGAAATCTGTATTTAACAACTGGTAGGAGAAGAATCCAAAGGGAGAGCGCATCACTAAGCTAGAGTACAACCACACATATAAAATATTTGCAAGTTGCTTCCTGGAGTTTCCTTAAGTGCAATAAATAATAAATATTCACCCTGTGTTTATATTCAACCGCTCTATATGCAAAATACCTAGAATCCACAAATACTTGAGGCCTCCTGTGCAAAAAGCCTCTTAAAGAGTTCAAACACCAATTTACCTCAATATGCATTAATACACACAGAGAAAACCATCTCAGCATTTCTGCAGAAGCTAATATAGACAGTCTTTCTTATTTGTGGTCTTGGGGATCGAGTCAATCACCACCAAGGAATATAAATGTACATCCTTGGCTGCGTTGCAAATGCCAATTAGTAGCGTGTCAACTAGCATCGCACCTAGGTATTCTAGCTTCTCAAGCTGTATTTTATTTTAAATATGGTGAAAATCTGCAAAGAGGCAAATTTTCCAGGGGTATTCTAAAGTCTCGATCAGCAGAAAAATCTACAAATCTGTGAAGACTGCAGCACAAATAGGTAGGGTTCACTTTTAGTACAAAACTCACAACAGCTCAATCTTTCCCAGTTTTAGGAAAGCTCATGTCACCCCAAAAGTCAGCAGCACCCTGGGTGGTGAGCCACATCACACACACACCACACTGCCACAGTTTGACCTACAAAATATGAAATACTTGATATGGCCAAAACTGATTTGAAAACATGAACATGGATGAACATAAACACACACACTCAGTTGTGTTTCCATGACTACAGAAGGCATTTCTTTAATGTCGATGTGTAATCTTAAAGAGGCATTACGGGGAGTTGCTTTTTACAAAAATAGAAACCGAGTCTTACACACACACACACACACGGAGGGACTCAGGACTCTGTCGCTCCTCTTTAAGCTTTTCATTTTCTTCATGACGTCGTGTTGTTTTTAACCACAAGTTGTGACTCAGAGCTCAGCAATACTTCTCATAAATAGCCTCCTGTAAGCATTCGCTTCTTTCCCGCTGGTGCAGTGTTCAGACAACGCTCCTGTGCAGGAATGTTTCTGTTCCAAGTGTGCTGTGTGACACACTCATGCTCCTGTATGAGTGTGTATCCCTGGCGTGTGGGGGTCATTTCCTCTCTGCCTGTCTCTGAAGCACACCGAGGAAAACAAAGAGCACTAAAGGAATCCTGCTTAAAAGGAACAATGTTTCCCCTTCAAAACGAGCTCAGAGGAGAGACATTAAGCTTGACTAAACGTCTTCGGAAAACCAATATGCGACGCTCGCTTCAGAGACACAAATATAACATCCAGTCGGCTTGTGATCAGCTCGCTGCAGTTTTCCAGAAGCTGTGGTCACAGCGGCCTCCCCATGCAGCCACACTGGGTGATGAAAGGAGATATTTAGAGCAACACGCAGATGTTAGACCTCTTTATAATGAGGACTTCTGCATCATAACTCTTTAACTAGTCTGACCTGCAACCATGTCTACAGATTAGAGTTAATTAGCAAAGCTATTCTCACACAAGCATGATGATTTGTTCACTAGCGTGACTTTGGTGCAAGATGACTCTCTCTCTCTCTCTCTCTTTCTTTCTTTTTAGTAGAAATGTTAAGTTTTTGTACAAATCCACTTACCGAAAACAATCACAGCAGCTTTCTATTCACATAAAGACTGATTCTTAAAAGAAATTATTTTAAAAACAACTAACAGCAGCAAAAACAATTACACAACAAGCACAACTTTTTTTCTTTTTTTTTTTAAGTTTATCAAAAATCTGCCTCCTCGTTGAGTGCTTTGTGTTGGCCATCAAAGAGGAAACAGACAGGAAGTAGCTGCCACAGGAAGTCCAGGCATGGAGAAGACCGCTCCTCTGGAGACCCCTGGAAACTGTGCTTATCTCCACTTGTGTTTTTTTTTTTTTAAGATGCAAACAATCACATTAAAACATTAGTTTTAGCTCGACTGATCAAGATTACTGTGCGATAGGTCCCATTCAAACCTACAGTTACAGAAAGGGTTCAGCAGAGGGAGACAGCCTACTTAAACCTGATGACTAGTTAGAGAAGGTGTCCTTTAAAAATACCTGTAACATTTATTTGACTACATCTACATGTATATCTAACATTGCTTATACAAGGCTTCCCTCATAAAACTTGCTAAGCCCGGTGGTTGGATGCTAAGTCGGTCATTCATCCAGCGGCCCGTCGTGTTTTTGAGTTAAAAAATGTTTAAAGTTGACAGGAAATTTGAAAGTATCACTTGATAATTATGTATCATCAAAAGATTGGAAGATTAATACCTGAAGATTAATACCTGATCACCAACTATAAAGTCTTAAAAAATGTAAACATTTTTAAAAGACTTTTTAAAAAAAGAAGCAATGCTAAGCCTGGTGGGGGCACAAGTAAAGCCTGGTGGCCCACCAGGCTTATAATACACTTCACTCCTCGATCAGAAATATCAAAACTATCAAGAACATTTCAATGGATTGACACAAGAGCCAAAAAAAGAGAGAAAAAGCTGCTTAAACTGTGCATTATTAAATATGACTGGGATTTTATTCCACTGCGCAGTAATACTGAGGGATCCAAACACTCCTGGTGCAAATCTAACAAAGCTTGTGACTGTTACTAAAAGGTTGTGATCTCCAGGCCGTCCGGCAGAGCTGGACTGAAAACAAGAGTCTGTAGCAGAAATCACTGCATGAACTCAGGGATGCTTTTCTGAAACAACCGTCTAGGAGTGTAGACAGTGTCTAGGATACAACTTCAAGCTCAAACTCTACAACAAAAACAGATCGAATGCTAACACCTACTCCAGGTGCAAGGTTTATGATTTCTTCTATTAGATTTTACTTGCCAACTATGAGACGGGAATTGTTGTTTGCACATAATCCCACGGCCGCGTTTTTATTATAAATATTTTTGTTCATCTCAGTTAAAAAAAAAATGTTTTGAGATAGTCTGTTGCATTGTCTTTGGTCATACCGTATTTTCTTTACATCCTCTTGAGATGTTCTCCAAATTTTTTCCCCCCCTTCTGTCATAAATGTTATTTCTCAAGCCATTATTCAAAGCCGTTGCTTTCGATGCAGGTCCAGTGCCAGCCGGAGGTTTACCTGCTCAGAATAGCAGCTGATGGATTTAACTAAAGCCACTTCAATGACCAGAACAGATATTCAGATCCCAACAGAACAGAGAGATTTTTTTTTTTTTTTACTAACTCTCTGAGAGATTATGAGGTCTATTACAAATAAAGTGTAAACAATTGGAGTCATATGAAATGCAGTTTTGCACATCAATATGGCTGCAGGAATATGTTATGGATGATACTGCCTCCCTTTCTGACTTTGAAATAGTGAGCATACCTACATACTTTTAATATTGTCTTTGATGTACAAGCAGCATTTTTGACTAAATGTATTTCACTGTGACTTTGTGCGGATAAACTAATAAAAATAAGTTTCTTGTATGGATTACAACACCATTGATTTCAAAGGAAAATGACAATAGGAAGACAAATTAGTAGCTCAAACAACCAACTTGTGTGGAATACCATGTCTGAATACGCAACATATCAAATCTTTAAGCAGGCAGACTACAGAAGTCCACACTGCACTGAGAAGCTGAGGCAACAATTCAGACAATTTCATCAAAATTAGACATTTTTTCTGGTTTCATGTTAGCTGCAACATTGGGATGTAAGTAATAAAGTGGGACAGTATAAGAGCATAAGTTAAAATACCTCTTTGTTTTAAATCACAATCTTATGGCAACTGTACGATTTGTTGTTGAACTTCTTCGAGATAATGAAATCTTTATCTAGTTGTAGCTCATCTCTGCCGTGTCCCAAATTGCCAGAGTCGGTATTGTCTCTGTACTCCAGCTGATGGAAGGTGCTGTACATGATAAGTCAGAGTACTGGGTGTCAAGCCAGCGACAGACTGTCATTTAAATGAGTTTCTGCCCAGCGCTCCCAACACCAGCTCAATAAAATCTTGACCCATCCCGTTAAATTGAAACAGACTCTCCCCGAGTGTGTCAAGTGTAATTTTTTTCAGTAGTAGATTTGATGCTGCTGAGAAACCCTTAGACAGATGATGAAAAGTACCCAAGCATTTATGTTACTGTAGTAATTAGTAAAAGAGAAACTAAGAAAATGTGTTGGATTTACATTCTACCAACAGTGAAATTCATCAAATGTTCAGTTTGAAACCAATTCTTCTTCTTCGGGTTAAGTCATCTGTTTTACAACCCTTCTCCTTACTATGAATAAAAGTTTAATCCTAGCCTCAAAAAGTCCTCCAGCAACAATGTGTGCTTGCTACAGCCCACAGCAACCGGGTCCATGTGAAAATCCGCCTCTCATAAGTTTCTGAACCAGTGGGGAAACTGTTGCATCCGACCGCTGGCAGCTTCTCCCTGCCGCTCGCCGGGTCTATCTAGGCCAAACGAGGCTCTGAGGACTGCTCATGAATTGGGCCACAGTTCTCCTCAGTGGTAGGAGCTGAAACTGTGTCACTGGAAGGCCGAGACAAAAAAAAAAAAAAACAGGACGGCAGCAATGTGTCCGCAGCCACAGCACACGCTTGCTACTGTTGCACGTCTTGCGAATATATCAAGCTCCACGAGGTCGTAACGTAGCGGAGCCCTAATTGGCATTCAAGGTCTGATCGGTGGGTTTGTTTAAGCATTTCACCCAGTTCTCTTTAAGGCTGTCTGTCTGTGTGGAGGATAGTAGAAGTAAGATGCTAAAGAAAAGATTTCACTTTGTCCTGGAGGTGGCAGGGTGGGATCAGACTTGAAGCATCTTAACACAGTAGGCTAGACATGTGTTATTAAAACAAATACTCAAAAGCTATTAGACTCTTGAGCAGCTGCACAAGAGATTATTTTCTGACAAAGAAAGTTCTCAAACAACATCTTTGTGTATCTGTGTTCCGGAGTTTTAGATTTTGTTTGCTTCATTTTATTCTAGTTCCCTCTTTAGCACCAAATCTACTCGGAAAAGTGTTTGGGTCATTTTTTTATGACTAAAAATAAAATCCTCAAACAGGCGGCATGCATTTCTATTTAGCCCCCTTTACTCTGACACCCATAAATCCGACTGCTTTCTGAGATGCACTTTATAAACCCAGCTGTTCTGTAAAGACCTCTGAGGTTTCTTGGAACAAACAGTAACATGAAGACCAAAGAGCACAGCAGCTAAGTCAGGGATAAAGTTGTGTAGATGTTAAAGCAGGATTAAGACATAAAAAAAAAAAAGATTTGGACACTACACTGAGCACTGTTTAACCCATCATCCAAGTAAGGAAAGAATATGGCACAACTACAACTGGACTGAACTCAAGAAATCTGCCCTTTATGGAAGCAGTTCCCACTGAAAGAAGGTTTGTTTCAGGCCATGTAAAGCCACCATGTGGAAGGTGGAGGCTTGTTCAGATCAAACTGTAATTTTGGCCAATACTTCAACTATTTTGTAGCATAAAAGCTAACCCTGCACATTATCCCTATTGTGAAACAGGGTGGCAGCGTCATGCTGGGGTGCGTAGGTTTAGGTTTGTTGACCAGGACAGGCCAACAAACCTAAAACGCTACAACACATTGATTTAGGTCAAAGCCTATACATGTATTGAAGTGGCCCAGTCAAAGTCCAGAACTAAATCAAATAAACAACTGAGAGAATCTCTTTGTCCAATCTAACTGAGCTTCAGCTGTTGTACATAAACACCACGTTTCTTCCGCTACGCCAGTCTGTCACACAATAATGCATTGATATCGACCTGTACAGGTTAAAACAGCCTCAACTGAACTCAGAGTTACGTAACATTTGACCCGACATGGGATAATCAGCAGCAGGTAGCGAGGGTAAACCAATAACGCTGACAGGATGAAGCTAACTAATAGGAAAAGCCCAGGATATGTTCTGCCCAAATGTCGTTGGGCAGAATGTCTGTTTTCGTCGTTTGTCTGTCACAGTAAGATCCTGATTGCACGACGCTGTTTACAAAACAGTCGCACCAGCACGCCACATTATCGCACGCTCGTTGATTATCCTAAGCGGCGTCCCCCCCCACTCTTCTCCCCCGAACCAAACGCACCAAGGAGGCGCCACCTACCCGAGCCGAAAGCCTTGGCCACCAGCCACGTCAGGCTGCAGGAGATCTTGGCCCTGGTGAAGTCGTAGTGGTCGAAGCTCTTGATGGCAGGGACGATGAATGTGCGTCTCATCCCTCTGTCCTCTGCCGCATCTCCCATCGTCCGTCTGTGCGTCGGCGTCCCTCTGCTGCTGGGAGGCTCAGTCAGCCGGAGGAGCTCCTCCTGTATGCGGATGACATCTCGTCCAGAGGAATTCAATGCAGTAAAAAAGAGAAGAAGAAGAAGAAAAATCCCTTTCTGCTAATTAAAGAATAAAAAAGAAATCAGGGGCTGGGTTTTGGGGGGGTGGACTTTGAGTTTGGCTGGTGTGAGCTTGATGAGGGCCCCCCCTCCTCGGTTAAATGAGACTCATGTTCAGTTTTTACCTCCTTAAATCTTGACAGCGCGGCGCAGTTTAGTGGCAGGATTCCTCAAGAAGATCCCCGGACATTTTTATCCTGGGGTTTTCACGACATGACGGATAATCTGTGCGGTTCAAGAGCAAAGCTGCGGGATCCAGCCCACGGTTATGTTTAAAAAAACAAAAAAACAAAACAAAACAAAACAAAAAAACGATCCGTTTTTAGTTCGTGCTCTTCTTTTTCCCCCTCCCTAACTGTTTTCATCTCCTCCTTTTTCCCCCCTCTCTGCGCTTTTCCTGCCGCACTGATCAGTGGATAAGGCGCACTGCGCATGCGCGATCCACCCACCCAAGTCTTTACAATCCTGTCAGGAGTCATCACAATGTAATACAAACTAGCGGCAGGATGGCTGCTGACTCAAACCCAGATGTTTCCATAGTGAGATGCATGAGAAAATACCAAAGAATGAGCTCTTAAACGCACTGACCGGACAGATTTAAAGGAATATTACGTTACTTTTACATAATTTTCAACCAGTTGGCATGTTCGTTTAATTTCTTAGGTTATATTTTATATCTTGGGTTATATTTTAAACAATTTGAATATAAATTGGGGATATTTGACAAGCTTCTTAAAGCTGCAGTAACTTTTTTTTTTTTTTTTTTTTTAACAAATATATTTAAATTGTGAGTGCTGACAGTATATTATGACACGGTAATCTGATAAAAAAAACTGAGCACTCCTTCACCCAGTGCTCCTATTTTCATTTACAGAAACAACCAATCAGAACCAAAAGGAGGGTCTTAGCGGTGTAAATCATCCATGTGTTGGTGATGTTCACCCCTTTCACTCAGCCAGTTCACCACAACAGAGGCTGCCATGAATGCTAAGGCTAGTCATCTTATTTCTCTGCCATTAGCACATTGAGCAGCATGTGGACAGGGGTGATTGACAGCTCTAAGCAATGATTAATAATAATAATAAAAAAAGGCTTGTAGGACATAATAATCCTACTGGGGAAAATATCCAAAAATACATTTCAGGAATGTTTCAGTCAATAAAGTTGATATTTTCCACCATTTTCTGAATGTTGTTCTTACTGAGCTTGTTTTTAAAAACTTAATCCCAAAGTGCAAGTTCTAACATTTTTACACCAAAAACATCGCTTCTAAGAAGTAAACTTAAATTACACTAAAACAGTGTTTCTTTTTCCCTTTCTGTATATGTTCTCATATTCCATTCATCCTGATAATTACTGCAGAAATGGTTCCTCTTTTGGGCTGGACAGTTGTAACACTACTGCTTTGCACCAAGGAGGTCCTGGGTTTGAAACCAGGCCTGCGGGCTTTTTGCATACAGTTCTCATGTTCTCCCGCTGCTGACCACATCAGCCAGATCATATATGGATTTTTGGATCTCACTACAGCTTCACTGTTATTCAGCTCTCAAACCGTAGAACATTCCTGGTTGCTGAGATGAATGGCCACATCCAGATGGGTGATGGTATCAGTCTTCCTCCATTTCAGAATAATTAGGAGTCTCAGAGGGGAATTTAAAACTGCTGAAATGGAGGTATGAGCTTTGCTTCACCACAGGCTTATAAGGGAGTTTTGCTATGCAGGTGCGCCTGTCTAATGTGTTTTCTCCCGCAATAACACAGAGCAGTTTTACTCCTGTCCCATTTTAAACATGTGTTGAATCCTTTTGTCTTCGTCAAAAGACGTATGAAAACTTGTCTATGCATTTGCAATCTTGTTATATCATATTAAAGCTATACTTTTTACTTATTCTGCCACAAAGTACTAACAGTCAGTATATCTTGATCAAAGTATGGTTTCATTTAACATAGCGGAATAAAATATTTGTCACTGTACACATTTACTTTTAGGTCATAAATATACATTTTCAGGATCACGTAGTACATAGAAGTCAAAAAAGTTGCGTTTCTTTTTTTATCCCCTTTTGAGATATTTATTTTTGTTTCCATACATACAATGAAGGACTTCAGTTCTCAGTTAGAAATGCTATTTTGTTTCCAGTTTTATAAGCAAACATAACTTTTTTCCTTTACCTTTTGTTGACAAATAATTTTATCCTAGAGAGACTATTGTGTTTTTTTTTTACAGCTATGAAAGACTTTATTTCATATATTTTTTTTTGCTTTTGAAATGTCTAAAAATTTAAATAGGCATTTATAAATACATTGCATAGTATATTTAAATATATAAAAGTTGTTCTCAATATTCTGTGTTGTGATTTTGTAAATATATTTCAGTGTAGAGCATGTATATTTTTAGTTAACTTTGATAAGATTTTAAGAAACATGTAAACACAATGCTACAATTAATATGCTAAGCAAATTTCCAAGTAAGTCTGTAGTATTAATTAAACTGTAAGCTGTAATATAATATATTTCAGTTTTGGTCATTCTTAACATAAAATAAATTGTGGACTACGTATATACCTAATGCAATGATAGTATAGATAAGAGTGTACTTGTGGAATACTTTAAATATACTTCAATAAACATAAATCGTATACCTAATATACACTATTAGGATATAGATGAGTGTACTTGTTGCATATCTGATGTATACTTTTGTAAATCTAAAATAATTGTAAAAAAGTGCTTACAGTATATTTTTATAAACTTAAAAATTCTCCAGTGTTGTAAACAGAAGCATACTTTCTAGTACATAGTCTATAGCTTACTTGCTATACTTATAGCAATGCTCAAGTATAATAATACAAACTTAAAGTATAATAAGAAAATCTTTAAAAGATGACTGAACCACAGATGTGTCAAACCTCTTCCCACATAACAAACCAAACTTATTTTGCAAACATTTATTTTTGCAACATTTTATATAAACTTCAAAGGACGTCACCAGGGTACTTCACCCTGCGAAAGGCGATGACAAAAGTGTACCTGCAGAGCCCTCTAGTGTCCAAACAGCGTTCGTACAGCTGAGTGGACATGAGACTGTACACTCAGTTTCAGTCAGTAGGTGGCAGTCTTTAGCTGTGCTTAAAGATTTGTTTCTCCTTTGAGTCCTCCTCCTTTGTAGTACGTAGAACTGCTGATTTGCCCCTTTTACCGACTGTGTTGAGAACAATAAAACAATTTGCAATAAAAACCACTGCATCTGCTCCAACTTTCACACTTTTAGTGTTCAGAGTGTTTTCTCTACCTTCTTATCCTTCCTTCTTTCTCTTTCTTTCTTCAACTTAGGCCACTTTTCTCTGCACTTCCCTCTACACCCACAGTCATTGTCGAGTCATTCCCAATCACAATATAGTTTGCATTTTCGATGTGAATGTTGGGCGCCAGCCGCTGAGGCCTTGGGTCCTCGCCGTCCTGCTCCCGTTGTATGGTGGCTCCGAGAACAAGCTGTCGCTCCATGCAAAGCCTCAGCATCTTTTTTTCCTCCAACCTCAGCCTCCTCATTCTCTGCTCGTGATCCCAGATCTTTCTCTGTTTTTCGATCCTCGCCTTATTAAAAGCCTTTTTCAGGTGCCTCTCAAAGTTCCTCCTCTCGTCCAGTGCCACCAGCGTCTGCAAGGTGATGGGCATGTGGTCTTTCGGCATGCAGTTCTCCCGAGGCAGCAGGGGGATGACCGTGTTAAATTTGTGTACGTTGTTTATAGAGTTGATGAGGGCGATGTTGGTTTTCATTTCCACCATTTGCGAGTTGAAGTTGCGCGTGAGCAGCAGGAAGGTGAAGGCAGAGTTGTTGACGGCGTCCTCCACGCACCTCAGAGCGCTCTTTCCTGGAATGGCAAAGTCGTCTGAGAAAGTTGCCCCCGTGGTACCGATGACTGCCTCGAGTTTTTCCTTCATGCTCTCCGCCACATCGGAATCTTCTGGAGCATGCAAGATAACAAATGCATAAAATATGTCCTCCTCCTCCTCATCCTCCTCTTCATCTACTTTGCTTATGTGTGTGCTTTTTAGACCAGGACTGCTTGGAAGAAGAATGTGTGTCGCAGACGGCAGGCTTGATTTAGTCTGAGTGATGGGTTTTAGTGGTTGGGTTGCGCTCTTGTTACTCCTCATTGACGCTTCTTCTATATTAATGTCTTTCTCTGCTCCAAACCGAGATGTTCCAGTCGACGTGTGCTGAGGAGATGCACAGTGAATTTGTTCTGGGACATGTTCTGTTTTATTTTCATGGATGGAAGGGTTTAGTATTGGGTTTCCTGAAGATTCAGCAGGTGCTTTGTCCCCTTGAAAAGAGATTGTTGTAGGAGCGCTTATCTCGAGATGAGAAGGGTATGAAGGCTCAGACGGACTGTTCTGCAGGGGGCTGGGCATGCAGTGAACATTTGCAGACTCATCCAGAGACGCAGCGATATCTGAAGTTGCCTTTCCTTCACTCATGGTCCTGCATGGATCGATGGAAGACTCCGATTTCAGATCGGAGGGCAAGCACATGGGCTCTGCAAACTGAGGCCCACACACAGCTCTGGCTTCCTCTCTAAAATTATCATATTCCAGAGAGCTTGTGTTTAGACATTTGCAGGAAATGGCTCTCTTGTAAGCCAGATCCCTTAGACGTGGGTCGCACAACCTTTGCTCGGACAAAATTTTAAAAGCGCGAGCCAGCGATGACAAAGACTCTCCCGTCTTGGCCTCAAACAGGCTACAATGAGCTCCAAAATCGTCTAATTTACCTCCGCCTGAGTGCCACTTTTCAGCCAGATGGTTAGCGAGGGGGTTGTCCTCTAGCTTCTGGAGCTTCCTCAGGGCCTGGGCTTCTCTCTGGAGGATGATCAGACACAAAGCGTGTATGATCGTGTCTTCAGGAGACTCACCCAAGTGGATTGTGAGGCTGAGTAATCGCTCTGAAGGTGCCTTTTCCAAAATGTCAAAGACAGCCCTCAGTCCTGTCCCTTGATTTTCCAGTTCTGTGTGATTCATTATACGGATTAGGTGCCAACTGGTTTTGGGCAGAGGAAAGAAGTCAACGAGATCACATTTGATTCTCCAGTTGCTTTTTCTTCAGATTATCAGCATGTTGCCCTTCTGAGGAGAAGACTTGCAGTTTTCCTTTCTATAAAGACACATGAAAACATTTCGTACAAATGAGATCAAATGTATATTATAATATTACTCAAACGAGCTCAAGGGTGTGAAAAAAGTGCCCAATTAATAGAAATAAATTAACTTCTTGTGTGACTTCCTTGACCTTTTTACGATCATAAATCAGTAATTACTTACCGGAATGATTTCTCTGGAGCAATGATAAG